TCCTCTGTGGTTACGACTGATTCACATGATGTATCCCCTTTTCTTCCTCTGTGGTTACGACTGATTCACATGATGTATTCCTTTGTTCTTCCTCTGTGGTTACGTCTGATTCACATGATGTATTCCTTTTTCTTCCTTTGTGGTTACGACTGATTCACATGATGTATTCCTTTGTTCTTCCTCTGTGGTTACAACTGATTCACATGATGTATCCCCTTTTTCTTCCTCTGTGGTTACGACTGATTCACATGATGTATTCCTTTGTTCTTCCTCTGTGGTTATGACTGATTCAAATGATGTATTCCTTTGTTATTCCTCTGTGGTTACGACTGATTCACATGATGAATTCCTTTGATCTTCCTCTGTGGTTATGACTGATTCAAATGATGTATTCCTTTTTTCTTCCTCTGTGGTTACGACTGATTCACATGATGTATTCCTTTGTTCTTCCTCTGTGGTTACGACAGATTCACATGATGAATTCCTTTGCTTTTTTTTCTTTAAGGCTACAACTCCTTCACTTGATGCACGTGTAATGGATATTATTAGGCATGTAGACAAGTGAGCAACGTTTTATGGATATTATTAGGCATGTGGACAAGTGGACAACGTTTTATGGATATTATTAGGCATGTAGACAAGTGGAAAACGTTTTATGGATATTATTAGGCATGTAGACAAGTGAGCAAGGTTTTATGGATATTATTAGGTGCATAGACAAGTGTACAACGTTTTATGGATATTATTAGGCATGTAGACAAGTGGACAACGTTTCATAGATATTATTAGGCATGTAGACAAGTGGACAACGTTTTATGGATATTATTAGGTATGTAGATAAGTGTACAACGGTTTATGGATTATATTAAGCACGTAGACAAGTGGAAAACGTTTTATGGATATTATTAGGTGCATAGACAAGTGGAAAACGTTTTATGGATATTATTAGGTGCATAGACAAGTGGACAGCGTTTTATGGATATTATTAGGCGTGTAGACAAGTGTACAACGTTTTATGGATATTATTAGGCATGTAGATAAGTGTACAACGGTTTATGGATATTATTAGGCACGTAGAGAAGTGGAAAACGTTTTATGGATATTATTAGGTGCATAGACAAGTGGAAAACGTTTTATGGATATTATTAGGTGCATAGACAAGTGGGCAACGTTTTATGGATATTATTAGGCATGTGGACAAGTGGACAGCGTTTTATGGATATTATTAGGCATGTGGACAAGTGGACAACGTTTTATGGATATTATTAGGTGCATAGACAAGTGGAAAACG